GTCGGGGCAGGTGGCGTGGCTTCGGCCCCTCCTGACTCTGGCCCCTGAGCTTGCTGCTAAGAGCACCTTTCCCCACAGGGGCCCCGCGCCCCCCTCCCATTCCAGGAGGGAATGTAGGTCAGGGAGCTCAGCAGGCCGTGTGAGTGGAATTCACGGAGCCTTGAGTGACGGAGCCATTTGCTTCTATTTCTGGGCCCCAGATTATGCGCTGACAGTGTCAGAATCAGAGTCACACGAGGGATGGCCGTGGTGCTGGAGGGGGTGCGAGCAGCCTGCGGGAGTGGGGGGAGGGGCTGTGAGTGGAGCAGCGAGGCCCCGGGGGCCACCAGCTCTGCTGGAGAGCCGTCCCCCCATGGCCTCTTCTATACCCAACTCTCAGAACCAGACAGCAGCAGTGTGATGTGGGGAGAGGCTGTGGGCGCGCCACACCTTGAAAGGAGCCCCTGTGTTAACGACTGCACATCTTCCATACCCTCACCGCCCAAGCCACCTGGCACCCTGCCAGCCTGGTTCACCAGCCCCAGGCCTGGCCCTCGCCTGCCATACTCAGGAACCAGCGAGGCCCGAGACCTGCAGCTCAAGTGAATGAATGAGCCAAGCACAGGCTGGGCCGGGCCAGCTGGACAGCCAGGCTGACCGGATGGTCCCGAGAGGCCCAGGGCAGTGGGGCAGTCCCCACCTCATTATGGCCGCAAGGGACAGAGCCAGCCAGAAATAGCAGATTCCCAAAGGCCCAGATGTGGGGTTCTCAAATCACAGCACACAGCCAGCCCCAGAAGCCTCTCGAGGGGGCAGGGGAGGGTCCCCCATCCCCCCCAGCTTCAGCCATGGGGCTGCCTCTTTCATCTGTTCATATACTGAGTCTCTGTGTATACTTACGTTGGGGAAATATGTTTTGCTGCTAAAACAGTTTGAAAGGTGTGGGTCTTGCTCATTCTTGGCCTGTGGGTCTTGACAGCCCACGAGGAGCAGTGGGACACCTGGGGAGGCCAAGGCACAAGCCCGCCTTGCCTTCAGCCACCATGCGGGAGCGAGGCCCTGAGCATGGCTTCCCCCCTGGGCAGCCCGTGGGGCACGATGCTGCCCCTCCCTCCCGCCTTCCTCCCGAACCCAGCAGCTTTCTCTGGCCACCTCTGCTGTGGTTTACACTCGTCTGGGAAGGCAGATTTAAATCGGCAAGAACTTGCCAACTTGCTGAGCCCTGGTTTTCGGCTGAGAAACTTGGTCATCAATTAGATGGATGACCCACACCTCCCAGTGGCTAGTGTCATGGTTTGATCTGCCTTAGGACCTGATCCTGGCCCCCATTAGCCCTCTCCAGACCCTGGCCCAGGATGCTCTGACTTTCCTCCAGGTGGTGAGGGTCTCGGAATTTGGGCCACATCATTTTTTAATTTTATTTTATTTATTTATTTATGGCTGTGTTGGGTCTTCGTTTCTGTGCGAGGGTTTTCTCTAGTTGCGGCGAGCGGGGGCCACTCTTCATCGCGGTGCGCGGGCCTCTCACTGTCGCGCCCTCTCTTGTTGTGGAGAACAGGCTCCAGACGCGCAGGCTCAGTACTTGTGGCTCACGGGCCTAGTTGCTCCGCGGCATGTGGGATCCTTCCAGACCAGGGCTCGAACCCGTGTCCCCTGAATTGGCAGGCAGATTCTCAACCACTGTGCCACCAGGGAAGCCCTGGGCCATATCATTTTGACGCTGGTGAGACCTCAGAGAAGGAAACCCTCTCACCAATGCCCCTGCTTGACGACACCCAGCCTCTAGGGTCTGAAAGCCTTAAGTTGCTTACCTGGGTCAGGCCAGGCTGGGGCTTAGGAGTAGTAACAGCAGCTGTGGCATCAACCACCACGTACCAGGCTGTTCGAAATACTTCGAAGACACTAAGGAGCTCATTTCATCCTGTGATAACCCCTGTTACAGGTGGGTAGACTGAGGCTGTGACAGGTGAAGGGACTTGTGCTTAATGAGCAGAGGAACTTGAACCCCACCTGTGACTCTGAAACCTGCAAGTTTAACCCCCGACCTGTGAACTGCCTCCTCCCCAGGTGGAGAGAGCCTGTCACAAGGTGAGGGAGGGGCAACTTTCAAAAGCCTGGCCTCCTGCCTGGGCTGCTCCGTCAGCCTCAGGGTCCCTGGGGTCAGGTGCAGCCGCCTCCCTCCAGCTCCCACCTGCCCTGTTGGTCCCTCCCTCCTGCTGGGACTGTGACCCCTCCCCGCCCCCCCCATGGGCTCCAGATGGCTCCCAGACTGGGCCTGGCCTCCACCTGGGTCAGCAGCATGCGGGCTGGGAGGCCTGGCTCCCGGGAACCAGTTGCCGTGGAAATACGGGGCGGGGTGTGGAACATGCTTCCCTCCCTCCCTTAGGCTCCTCCCCTCATGGCCTGGCAGCCTCTCCATCCACCATTTCCTGCTTCTGCCCCTTCCCTGGCTGGTCAGGCACATCCCAGGCTGGGCAAGCATCAGCTGGCCCTATGGCTAGTGAGAGGGGCAGGCCCTGGAGAGGCCAGGGCTTCAAATCCCAAACCAAGAGCCCAGACTGCAAGCAGCAACCCTGCAGAGGGCAGGAAGAGAGTTCTGCACTGACCAGGGAGCGCCGTGTTACCCGGGAGCAGTCTGGACTTCCAACGCTGGGACCATCAGGTGAATAAGCCAGGACACCTCAGACGCTGCAGCCATGGGTGTCCCGGGGGGTGTGACCCGGCAACTTTCAAAAGCAGGTTACAGAACGTTGTTTGTAGAGCACGTTACAGCTTTTATTAAATCTATGCTCTATAGATGGAGAGAAGGTTCTGGAAAGGTGGCTACCTCTGGGTGGCAGGATTACAGGTGATTTAAAAATCTTATTTTTGTCTTCTATTTTGTAAATTTTCTACAGTGAACATCTATTGTGTCATTTTTTTCCCAAAAGGTTTTTTTTGTTTTTGGGGTTTTTTTTTCATTTCTGAGCAACAGGGGTTGCAGGCCAACAATTTCGGTATCTCCTGTAAAGTTTCCAGGAAAGTTCCCAGAGCCAGGCTGCACTGAACTGTCATTTGGTGATAATCCTCCACCCTTCTCTGGCCCTCCTGGTGTGCCAGGCATCTGGGGGGACCACCTCATCTGGTTTGCTGGGACTTCCCTGTTTTAGCCCTTAACTTCTTATGTCCTAGAAACCCCTGTGTCCCAGGCAAACCCAGGACAGTCAGTCACCCTGCAGGCACTGTGTCAGACCCCGTCTGGGAGGCAGGTGTTTGGGATATCTTGTTACAGGTGAGGGAAGTTAGACGACTTGTCCAAGGTCACAGTCAGGAGGCTCCGAGGCTGGGACTCGAACCCAAGTCTCTGTGGCACTCACAAGCCCCCACTTTGGCTGACCAGGTGCCACTGTGATCAGCTGGATGAAAGTGGGCCCTTGGCGTGGGCCTTCGTCTAACGGCACAGAGAGGCAGAGCAGCCTCTCCAAGGCCACACAGCGGGGGGGGGGGGGGAACAGGATGGACAGAGATCCAGGCCTCCCCCAAGCTCCCCCAATGGGAAAGGAGCCCGCCCGTCTGGCTCCACACCCCAGGCCAGCGACTCAGCTAACATTTGGAGACTGCCGTACTGTGTCTGGCCCTGGGCATACGCCTACGAACAGAATAGATTTGGCTTGACCCCCCTTCTGTGAACTGATGGTGGTGGGGAGGAAGTGAGGGGTTGACCCCAAACGTCTGACCACCCAGCGGGTTCCTTAGTTGCGGCTGGGTACGTGCCGTGAGGAGAGCGTGGGTCGTCTGGAGGGCAGGGAAGGCCTCGCTGGGGGTGTGACGTTTAGGCTGAGGCCTGGCAATGCTGGAGAAGTCAGAGGGAGGGAAAGGGAAACATCCAGAAAGAAGGAGGAGCAGGCAGGGGTGCTCCAACCTCCAGGGCTTCGTCTCGTCTTCTGTAAAATGAGGACAATATGGTACAGCTGCCATGGAAAACGGTTTGGTGGCTCCTCAAAAAACTTTACATAGGGAATTCCCTGGCGGTCCAGTGGTTAAGACATGTAGCTTTCACGGCTGAGGGCCCGGATTCAATTATTTCCTGGTCAGGGAGCTGAGATCCTGCAAGCCACGAGGCGCAGCCAAAAGAAAAAACAAATTATACATAGTTAACACATGATGGAACAATTCCACCCGTAGGGATGTGCCCGAAAGAACGGAAAACGGGTTCTCCACAAATACTCGTACACAAATGTTCATAGCAGCATTATTCACAGCAGCCAAAATATACAGACAACCCAGATTCCATCAGCAGTGAATGGATAAACAAATTGTGGCAGGTCCAGACATGGAATAATAGTCAGCCATAAAAAAAGGAATGAAGTTTTGATACCTGCTACAACATAGATGGGCCTCAAGAACATTACGGTACGTGAAAGAAGCCTGACGCAAAAGGTCACGTATTGTATGATTCCACTTACATGAAACGTCTAGAATAGGCGAATCCATAGAAACAGAAAGCAGACTGGTGGTTGCCAGGGGCTGGGTGAAGGGAGGACAGGGACCAACTGCTTGATGGGAACTGGGTTTCTTTTTGGAGCTCTATAGAGGTGATGGTTGCACAACATTGTGAACATACTAAATGCCGCCGAACTGTACACTTAAAAATAGTTAATTGTGTGTTACGTGAATTTCAGTTCAACTTAAAAAAGATGGCGATGGTAACACCCTGTTCTCGGGACTGGCGGGGGCTTCAGTGAAGTCCTTTGAGAAAAGCCAGCAGCCCAGGGCCCCATTTGTCAGGATGAGATCCTCCGACGGGGCCACAGTGGCCCCCAAAACCCCTGATCGCCACTCTCTCATTCAGCACTTTTATCTGTCCGGATATCCCAGGGAAGGGCCTTCCAGGTAGAGGGAACAGCACAAGCAAAGGCCCTGAGGTGGGAACCTGCTCGGAGGCCCGCGTGGTTCAAGTGAAGGAAGCCAGGGCGCAGTGGGGGGAGAGCACGCGGGGGGCGGCACTGACGGCCTTCGGGGCCTCTCTCTCTTGCCCACAGCCCTGCTCCTGGACATCATGACAGTGGCTGGCGTGCAGAAGCTCATCAAGCGGCGTGGCCCGTTTGAGACGAGCCCCAGCCTCCTGGACTACGTCACCATGGATATCTACGCCTTCCCCGCCGGGCACGCCAGCCGCGCGGCCATGGTATCCAAGTTCTTCCTCAGCCACCTGGTGCTGGCGGTGCCTCTGCGCGTCTTGCTGGTGCTCTGGGCCCTCTGTGTGGGCCTGTCTCGGGTCATGATCGGCCGCCACCACATCACCGATGTCCTCTCCGGCTTCGTCATTGGCTACTTCCAGTTCCGCCTGGTCGAACTGGTCTGGATGTCCTCCAACACCTGCCAGATGCTCATCTCCGCCTGGTGAGCCGTTCATCTGCGGCTCCGGGGCCGGGGGTGGCCCGAGGGGCAGCAGGAGGACATAGGGCTGGCAGGGGAGGGGGGACCAGGCAGCCCCAGCCCATCTCCCCATGGGCTGGTGGAGGCTGGTGACCTCAGGTGGGCCCACCAGTGACTGGCACGTCCCTCTCATCATGCTGGGTGCCCCCTGCTCCTTCAATCAGACCCTGAGTCCCTCTGTGGACGGGCTGGGGCCCAGCCGTGGGGATAGCCCTGCTCCGCTTCTGCTCTGGAGGTACCAGGTGAGAACCGGGATGGCGGGAGAGGGGCCGACTCTCATCTCGTCCTTTTCACCATCACGACTGTTGAGTTCCAGGCTGTGCCCACCTGACCACAGCACACCGCCCAGCGAAATGCCCACAACCCACCACCCAACACAGGTGCCATTGCCATTAATGGTCATCGATAGCTTAGGGCAGCGCTTTCCAAAGGATGGCCCACCAGACACCAGCCTACAAGACACGTTGGGAAGAGAAATGGTCTTGTGGTCAAATAACTTTGGGAAATGCTACACGCTCTGTTGGACATTCACGAGGGCTGGGATTGTCGTAACGGCAAAGTCCTATAGAAGGAGCTTTCATGGAATCTTGTTTAATCCATGTTTCCTAAACTTATCTGACTACAGAACCCTTCTCTCGAGGAACAGCTATTAACCCTCCCAGGGAACCTCATTTCCCCAGACGCATTTTGGGAGATGCAGCCCAGGAGCGGAAGGGCCTGAGGTGTGAGCTGGCCTCTCCCAGCGCTGGGCCCCAGAGCCCGGGGAGACCAGGTGTCTGTGCCACCGCCTGTGGAAAGCCCAGGGCCCACGGGCATCGGTGCCGCTTTGGCCCCCAGGGGCCGGACTCCGTGTGACCTAATAGGTCGTTTCCAAGTCAGCCGTTCTGGACGTGCACTTCATGTGACAATACAGATGATGTGCAAACAGGCCCTCTCCTGTGTGTTTTTTTTCCTCGTTTGTTGCAAGATTACAGGTGGGAGAGTCCCTGTTAACATGGGGGTGGGGAGTGATTTCTTTACCCCCAGTCAGGCCAAGGTGTCAGGTGGTCAGGGGGCAATGGGCTCCTAGGCTTTTCCGGGCTGCCTGGTCCCTTCTCCCTGAGAAGGCCTGCTGGGGCTCCCTCCATCCCCGGGCCCTGCATTGGCCACCCTGCCCAGGGCCTGGGCCGTGATCTGTTTGGAAAGCCCTCACTGTGGTGCTGAGGGGCTCTCCCCTGGGGGCCAAGATGCTCTCACTCCCCGCTGACCCAGACCCTGCCCCCAAGGCAGTGGTCGCTACCAGGACAAGTGGACTCAGTGTGAGGTAGACATTAGCGCCGACAGAGGGTGGATTCGTTTCCTGTCTACCATAAGGAGTAACCGCAGCCTACCGCGTGGCTTAAAACAACAGAAATGTGTTCTGTCTCAGTTCTGGAGGTTAGAAGTCCAAATTCAAGGTGTCTGCAGGGCCACGCTGCCTCTGAGACTCTGGGTAGAATCCTTCCCCGCCTCATCCAGCTTCTGGTGGTGGCCGGCAATCCGGGCTGTGGCCACGTCACTCCAACCTCTGCCTCTGTCATCACAGGGCATTCTGCCTGCGTCTGTGTCTGTCTCCTCCTCTTTTTTTTTTTTGCCTACACAGTGCGGCATGTGAGATCTTAGTTCCCCAACCAGGGATCGAACCCGTGCCCCCTGCACTGGGAGCACGGAGTCTTAACCACTCGACCACCAGGGATGTCCCCGTCTTCTCTTCTTATAATGACAGCAGTCCTGTTGGATTAGGGCCCACCCTATTCAGAATGACCTCATCTTAACATCTTAATCACATCTGCAAAGGACCTTTCCAAACAAGGTCACGTCCATAGATACTGGGAGTGAGGACTCCAACATCTTTTGCGGGGACACAATTCAACCCACAACACGCAGGATCCTTTTGGGGGAAAGACAACTCCCTCTCCCAGCCACCCCACTGGGACAGGACAGGGGTATAGCGCCGTCCCATCCGAGGGTCCAGCTGCTGCTGACGATGAAGGGCATCGGATCTCCTGGGCCCAGAGCCCTCCGCAGGCCCAGCCCTCAGGCCTGAATACCTTCCCCTCCCACTGCAGATCCCACACCCTCAGGGGTCATGGTCCCCCAAGACCGATGCCCCTGCAGGTAGGACCCAAGCTGCCCCTGCTTGCCCTCCCAAGGCTCCTCTCTGGAGCCTCCTTTGCATCCAGCCCTGCTGGGGGTGCGGGAGATCTGCACCTTGTCTTTTCCCTAAAGGAGCTCGGGGATGCCAGACCCGGCTGGGCCACCACAATGAAAACCCCCCAACCTCCAACCTTGAACACTGGCTGGTTGCAGAGTCTTCAAAATACATTCTGCCCCTTCCCATAGATGCTCCTGGGTGGCACATCCATGAGATGCTGAGCAGGAGGGGTGACCCTCGGGAATCCGGGAACCCGTCATCCAGGGCGAATCCGGCTCCAGCTTTGGTCTGGGGATGGGCTGCTGCCCTCCAAGGCCCACATCCCCAGCGGGTCCCCAGGGCCTCTGTCTCTGCAGAGGTGGATGGTGGTCTCTGGAGCCTTTAAGATGAGGAGGGGGTTTCTGAAGAATGGAGAGCTCTCAGCAGACTCCCTAAGCTCAGGGTGGGCAGTGGAATTCAAGTGCCTAACAACCGATTAGGAGAAAAGTCTCCCTGGAGAGGCGGTTGGCATCCTGTCCTGTGAGGTGTCAGCAACACCAGGTGCTGGAGCCCTGGGCTCAGCGCCAGCACTGACACAGCAGTCACATGCCCTCTCCAAGCCTGGTGTCCTAATCTGTCAGACAGGGATGACAGTGGTCCCTGTAGGGTCATGTATGACTCAGGGATACTCCCTACCTGGGCACCTGGCACAGGGTCCACCCTGCCATCCTGGACGGACCCCCTGGGGGAGCCCTCAAGAGCAGAGCCGGGGAGGGAGGGAGGAACTCGCCGTCACACCCGTTCCTGGAGAGACCCTGAGCGGAGGCGGGCAGGCGGCGGGAGGTGGGGTGACAGCCGAGAGGGCCCCAGTGATGGAACCGGAGACGCGGAGTGTGTGTGCTCCCTCAGACATAGTTAATGCGCTTTGGTGATCGAAGCCAACAGCCACTCCCACTTTTTTACGGTGAATTATAATATTTGGTTCTCAATGGTAAGCCTGTTCTGCATACCTGGGGTAAACCCCAAGTGGTCAAGATGCACTGCCTTTTCTAAATATCACTGCTTTGCATTGGATAAAGATTTTGTTAAGGATCTTTGCCTCTCTATCCATGGGGGATGTTTGTGTTGTTTCCTCGATTTGTCTGTGTCCACTTCGGTTGTCAGGGTAAAGCTGGCCTCTTCTATTTTTCTGAAGGGGTTTGTATAGAATCCGTATCATCTCTTTTTTTACCCCTCGATTTCTGTCTATCATTCCTGACCTTTCAGAGACCAGCCTCTCCACGGAACTGACGTTCGACTCATGACTTGGGTTGGGGGGGGGTGCGGGGGGTTACAACTTCCTAAGTCCTCCACCTGCCTCATCTCGCTGAATCCTTATGACGACCTTACCCCTATTTTACAGGTGAGGAGACTGAGGCTCAGAGAGCAAAAGTCATTTCTCCAAGGTCACTCAGGTAGGATGTGGCAGAGTCAGGATTGGAACCCAGGCTGCAGTGGCCTCAGAGCAGAGAACCCTCTGGAAAACAGAAACACAGGGCACCCACCAACCTTGGAGGGAGGCTGGACTGGTGAAGCGGCAGCACAGGGGTGGGTTGGCTTTTTTCTTTTTTTCTTTTTTTTTTTTCTTTTTTTTGTGGTACGCGGGCCTCTCACTGTTGGGGCATCTCCCGTTGCGGAGCACAGGCTCCGGACGCGCAGGCTCAGCGGCCATGGCTCATGGGCCCAGCCGCTCCGCGGCATGTGGGATCCTCCCGGACCGGGGCACAAACCCGTGTCCCCTGCATCGGCAGGCAGACTCTCAACCACTGCGCCACCAGGGAAGCCTGGATTTTTTCTTTTTTTACAGAGTCAAATCCCACTGTGCTGGACGGCAGCCTGTGTTGTCTGAGGTCCACCTCGGCCGGACTCCGTGGGTCCCACCTGAACCGGATATTGGGTATGGTGGGAACAGGGTCCCCCCCAGCCCCTGAGTAGCCCCCAAAGCTCTCCCTCAACGTGAGGCATCCTCCCCCACTTCCTTGCTCCAACCCACCTGCTCCTCCTGGAGCCTGGAGTTGGTCCTGAACTTGCCCAGTGCTCTCCTGCCTCCTGGCACCACCCCCAGCTGCCATGGCCAGTGCGATCCCTTCCCAGAACACAGAAGCCTACCTGCGTTTCCTCTGTTGAGGTCACGTGCTTGGAGGGCCGAAGGGGCTCAGGGACAGGCTGGGGGGCGGTTTGAGCAGGGTGGTCTCAAGGGAAGAGCACACACATGGGAGTCAGGTCCCCGGGTTCAAATTCTGGCACTGAAAAGTCGCTGAACCCTTCTGAGCCTCAGTTTCCCCCTCTATAAAATGGGGATGATGCTTACCTTGCACAGGTGTGAGGATTAAAGCTAGAGCATCCAGAGCACCCAGCCCTGGGCCCGGCACACAGAAGGGTTGAGAAAGGAAGACAGAGCTGCTTGGGCCACACATACCCCCAAAGGACCATGAGTCCCCGCTGGGCACTTGGGACAGGATAGGATGCTTCGGGGCTTGGATGGGCAGGGATCAGTGGGGACTGGAACCTGGAGATGGGCACCTACCCAGGTCATGGTGGGCCCAGCGGCCTCTTTTCACACATGGAGACACTGAGGCCCAGGAAGGGTGTCAGGGCCATACCAAGTGCCCCAGGCACTATGGAGCCTGCCCGGAAACCCCCCCGCCCAACGCTGGGCTCCCTGGCTTCAGTCTATGGGTGGGCAAAGGGGGTGTGAACCGACCCCTCCCACCCTGAGCTATCACTTTTCCCCTCCATGCTGTCCAAACCATCATTCCCACAGAGCTGGGGCTCAG